ACGGGCACTGTTGTGAGGAGAGAGGTCAGAGAGGGGGGTGCAGAGGAGTGGTGGGACCTTAAAATCGATCCTCTCTGGGATAGGCAGCCAGTGGAGTCTGGTAAGGACTGGGGTTTTCGGAAGCGGAATTTGGTGCAGGTAAGAATGTGGGCGGTAGAGTTTTGGATGACCTGGATTTTGTTAATGGTAGTGGAGGGGAGACTGGCAAGAAGGGCATTTGAGTAGTCCAGCCAAGAGGTGACAAAGGCATGGACCAGGGTTTCAGCGGCTTTTGGAGTGAGGCATTGGCAGAGATGGGCGATGCGACGGACGGAGGTGGAAGAAGGCGGTGCTGGTGAGGGACTGGATATGGGGGAGGAAGGATAATTGGGGGTCGAACCTGATGCCTAGCTTGCGTATGATTCGGAGAGTTTTAGTGGGAGGCAGGGTAGGTGGAAGAGGTGAGAATCAGGGGACTGGGGGTCACAATGTGAGGTGGAAAAATAGAGTTGGGTGTCGTCCGCATACAAGTGGAAGTGTACCCCATGTCTGCGGATGACATCCCCAAGAGGGAACATGTAGATCAGAAAGAGGAGAGGGCCAAGGATGGATCCTTGGGGTACCCCGCAGGTAACCGGGTGAGAGTCGAAGGACAAGCCGCTTGTGTAGATGTACTGCTGGTGGTTCGTGAGATAGGACTCGAACCAGGCGACGCCCAAGTTCTTGACTGCTTGGTAAGGTGAAGTGTGCAACCATGGATGCTAATGCTGCCAGAGCCTGAGGTGCGGAGACGCTGGCGTGATCCAATCAGGAGGGCCTCAGTCTTGCTGACATTCAGCTGTAGAAAGTTGGCTCTCATCCAGGACAGACAGTCGGTCAGGAAGTGAGCTGTCCTGGAATTGAGGGTGAAGGCAGAGAGATAGAGTTGGGTATAATCCGTATAGATGTGGAAGTTGATTCCATGTATGCGGATGATGTCACCAAGTGGGAGCATCTGGAGGTTGAAGAGGAGGGGACCGAGGACAGAGCCCTGAGGAACACCACATGAGACTGTGTGTGTGTGGAGGGAGCTAGCAGAGACAAATTGGAGACGGTGTGAGAGATAAGACCTGAACCATTCAAGGGCAGAACCTTGGTCACAGATGGACAGGATGTCATTTGTCACCTTGACCAGAGCAGGTTCAATGCTGTGAGCAGCACAGAAACCCGAATGAAGTGGCTCATGAAGGGAGTGGTAGGAGAGGAATGAGTGAAACTGGGAAGCAAGAACAATTCAAACCATCGAGCCAGTTCCACTAGTTTGATAGATTTGGGCAAAATGTTTTAATCTCAATACCCCTGGCTTTTTGCCTCTACCACTCAAGTATCTGTATCTCTAATTTTAACCATCCATCTGGGGCAGAGCATTATAAAAACAATCCTTGCATTTGACATTGTGCCTTTCAGGTCTATTCAATGGACATTTGCCTTCAGCATGGTGGGTGGACTAATACGAGGCAGCTTGTACGTGCCAGCCATCTTGATGTTCCAGGTTCAATGCTGTGCACCAGGCTGACTCAGCACCGACTACTTAATCCAGGTCATGTGAGGGCTTTTGGCAAATAGATGTATCTGTCGTGGAGATGACTCCACCTCCAGGTCAGTGTAGCCTCAAGCCCTTGCTCCCTGTAGTTGCTTCTCGTTTTTTTAACCCCCCCCCCCCACACACAAATTCACCTGCTGTTTGATCATGGATTTGCGACCATGCTGTCATTGATGAGACAAGAATAACCAGAGTGCACTTTGCCCCAGGCTGAAGTGCCAAGCAGAAAAGTGGGTTTCACACCCAATGCAATCGAGACCCTTGTCGCGTTGATTAATCCAATGCCCTCCTTGTTTGTCTCTTCTGCTCCACTATCCATAAAATTCAATTAATCCAGATCTACACGGCCTGTAAACACAGTGTACCCCAAGTCTGTTTAGGTCTGTTTGCTTTCAAAATCCATTGATATTTTGGATTATATCTGATAACAATTATAGAACCCACAATTACTGTCAAATACAGGACTACCCTGTTTTAAGACCCACCCACCACCACCACACGCACACAGATAGCACTATGCCATAAAAATGCCCCCTTTCCATTTTGCCATGGATTTTACTTCTTATTCGAAGTATGCATGAATTGGAAGAACCACCATCACCACCTCACAAAGAATTGCTGCTGACATCACTTTGGGAAGGAAGCGTCACTTCCTATAAAAATCATGTAAACAAAATCAGCAATCAGCCTGCAATCCTGAAGCAAAACTGGCAACCTTTCTTTTGGTGGTGGTGGGGGGGGGGGGGGGGGAAATCCACCATGATGCAGTGTCTATTTTTTTGATCTGAAAGACCAAAGGATTGCCCTCCATTGTATATCAAATAGGTGCCCATTAGCCCCAGGAAAGAATGATTAAACTCCCATACTTGGAACAAAGCACAAATGACAATTTTCATAAAATGGTAATTTCCATGATTATCAGCTGTCTGCTAGATGGAACAGTTTGCGACAGCTGTGGTAGTCCTCTGTTGCTGAATCAGCTAATCTCAGTCAGGCAGTAGTTGGGAGTATTATAATTGGTGCATCCAAATTAGGGAGCTTCTTATCACTACCCAAATACCCCAGCCAGAAGATGTTCATGTCAGATGAGGACAACAGATGAATGAAAGGAGTCCCTTGGAACTGTACCTCTGAAAGGAAAAGGCAGAAGCGGGGAAAAAATCCTAACATTCCAACATTGAATCTTAAAGGATTTTTTTTATACATGACACGAACACTACTGAAAACAAACAAGAAATGTTATATTGTAGTGTTTTAGGACTCCAACGTATAGGAAAAATTATGATGTAGATTGTTCCTTTTTATTATTAAAAGTGCAACATTGCTGCAGAATTACAATTTTGTTGCAGTGCTAAGTATTGTTGTTGATTAAAAACAATACTTCCTTCTCACAACGAAGAGAGTACAATCAATATGCCTGTTATCTTGCCATGTGCATGGCAGATTTTACTATCCTTCCATACCTATATTATATGCTAACTGATGTGCAGAACCGTGTTTCATTCAATTTATAGTAAACTCAATAAGATATACAAGACATGTATTATGTTTCAACATTGGTGCAAAATATACTTCTCCAAACCCCAAAGGATTAAACAGGCGTATTTACTTCCCGCCCAACATTCTGCCAAGTACAATTCCAACTGAATTTAAATAGAAAGGGGCACATTAGTACAACATACCATGAAATATGGACTCAATCCAATTTAAAAATATTCTGAACAACTGTCATTCATCTGCTGATGTTCCAAGCCTGTGCAATATTTAAACTGGTTGCCTTAGTTGGGTGAGTTTAGTCAATTTTCAACTGGATTTACAGGGTGGAAAACTGCACAGAAGCTGAATGTTCCTTTCCAAGGGGGAAAAAAAATGTCCAATTAATGTTTCTTGAATATGCATTCCTGACCTATAGCTACAATATGATCACAGAATGTATCGATAGCAGTTTAATGTGTTGATCGCAGAATGTATTGACAGCACTGTAGCTCAAAATATGCTTCCCTTCCCAGCCGCAGAGAATATTGGGGGGAGGAAGAGTTTAAAATATTTTTAACTGAAATTAAAATTTAACTAAGTGAAACTTGAAATGTGTGGTCATTTTTAAATCATTACAACTCATTATCCTTCAAAAAGGAATCAAGATTTTTCATTTTCTCTCCTATAAAACTGAACGGAAACTGAGTTTTGTGTAAAATTCATATCAAAGAAATCCATAGGGAGCAAACTGCATTTCTTGGATTTATACATCCATCAACTGAAACCTGCGTCAGGACAAATACACTCAACAGAAAAAANCATTTAAATGCTAATACTAACAGACAATAAGTACAACCCATCCTTTAAACCACAAAACGTACAGTACAGTAAGTACATCGTATTAAAAATGTAATCATGGGTGTGGAAATGTAACCTTGCAAATACAATTAATAATTCTTAAACCGCAAATTAAATGCCAAGCATTAGATTTCACCAATATAGCCGCCTTCCACCAAATAATAAGACCTGCAGCTAACAGTACAAAAAAACCCTGCAAAATCCGGGGGATTTTTAAAATATACACATATTGCATTATTTAGCTTTTTGCAAATCGTGAATTTTTTTTTCTGGAGACGACGAGAGAGAGCCCTTCCCGACGGATTCATTTTCTGCATCGATACCCAATCAGACATGTCCAAACACTGGAGAATTTTCTTTTTTTTAAAAAAAAACAACACGTACATGTGCGAAACACTATGTCAAACGCAAGGATTGTTATTGTTGTTATTATGATTACCACCATATGAAAAAAAAATGCTTGTTTTTTTTAAGAATAACAGCAATAAGACCGATAGGGTCGCCACATCTTTTATTGAAGGCGAGAGAGAAAGGGTTTAAGTGAAACGACCTCGAGCAGTCCAGTCAGCCATCGGCCACAACCGTGCGTTGAATCTGCCTTTGCCTTTGAAAGCCTTGTGCGCGGGCGGATCGACTGACAATTGCGGGACTGACGTGCGGTGCGGTGCGGCCAAGGCCTCTCTTTCTCTCTCTCTCTCTCTCTCTTTCTCTTTCTGCACTGCAGAGGCAGATGCGGCGGCGAGAAAGAGGAAGGGGGGTGGGTGGGGGGGGAAGGAAGGCAGGTCGGTCGGCCGGGGGTGTGGGTGTGCGCGCGGGAGGTGGAGGCCGAGACCCCGCACAGGGGGAGAAACGGTAACGGTCCCCAAGTTAAACCAAGGCCGAACGGCGGGGGCTTGTCGTCCACCATCCAACCGGCCGCGCACTGCCGTCCCTTTCCCTCCCCCCACCCCTCACGTCGACTTTTTTTTTACCTCACGTTTTTCCTCTCCTCCTTCTCCCACCGCCCCCACCACCACCACCACCACCGGGGAAAAAAAAATCCATAATCGGTACCGTTTCTTCACCGCCCACTCCCCCACACACCGCTTCCCGGCTTCTATTTTACCTGGAAATCGCGATCCTCGTTGAAGCGAGCGAACTTGTCAGCCATTTTGCCGACGTTTGTTTTCGGAAAAGAGAGAGAGAGAGAGAGACCTTCTCTCGGCTTCTCTGCCCGCCTCGTCCTCGCGCTGGGGAGTGCGTGCGTGCTGCGTGCGGGCGGGCGGTGCGCGCGTGCGTCCGTGCGTGCGGGCGCGCGACGTCGACGCCGACGCCTTCCGCGCTTGATCGACGCGCGTGCGCGCGCGGACCCGTGCCCGTCGGCCCCGTCGCCCATCCACCTCGTCCTACGTCACTCTCCCCCCCCCACCCCACCCACCTCATCACTCCTCCCCCGCCCACCCACCCACCATCGTCCTACGTCACTCGCCCCTTCACCCCGACCCCGCCCCCCTTTACCGTACCACGCTACGTCACTCGCCCCCCCACCCCCACCCCCTCGTCACTCCTCCCCCGGCCCCACCCACCCTCGTCCTACGTCACTCGGCCCTGCCCACCGCCGCCGCGGCCCGGATTGGGCGGTTTTCACGCCCGATTGGGCGGTTTTTGAAAGAATCCCTTCAAAACCATAACAGTAACAATAATAATACTAATTGGGTCACTCAATTCACCGCTGTTCGTGGGTCACTGCTCGTGAGCAATCGGCTGCCCCGTTTCGCCCACAAGGTACACAGTCACTACACTTTACAGTCAGCGCTTTGAGACAACAACAACAACAACAACAAGATTCCATTTATTGAGCGCCTTTCACGTCGGGAGGACGTCCCAAGACGTCTGGAAAACCTGATCAGGCGCTGTATCAAACGCAAGGATTATTATTATTATTATTATCATCATTATTATTTATAATAATCCTTGAGTTTGACATATATAGCGCCTTATCACGTCGTTGAGATGTACCAAAATAATTATTATGTTATTATATTATGTATTGTAGATATATTGTAAAACAAAGCGACTGTATTTTGTGGGGACTTTTTGTTGCAACTGCGTGTGAAAAGACAGGTTTGGGCAGGTGCCTAATTTTCTTTTAATTGATACCTGCAAAACATTCCCCCTCCTGTTGGAAGACCTTTTCTTACACAGTTTCAAAAGCACTATCCTAAATTGGCCACTCTGCCATAATAGGCACACAATATTTGTCTATGTATTTGGTTGACTTTGAGCTATAAACATACATTATTTTAATATCTGACAATCAACCCTCTCCTCTTTCCATTGGGTGTCATACCCAGGATTGCCCGAAATTAAAATACATTTACAATTGTAGCAGGGCAGCTCAAGTTAGGTTAGTTTGTCATGTTTAACACTGATCGCAGTATTTAATAGATAGATTTTCTTCAGCACTTGTAATGAAGAATTCATTAGAGTAGAATTCAATTATCTCGAAATAGTTTCCGTTAGAAACACAAAAGATATTTCCATTTGTAGGTCTCGAAAACTAATCAAATACGTTCCTCAACTGGCAAAAAGGACATCCTGTTTTTGAAGGAAACTGTGGTCTCAAGAGTGTCTTTTGATCCTTGTGAAATAACTTGTTCGCTCGACCAAATAACGCAGTTTATAAAGAATTGTGGAGTCATAACCACTTGCTATTGCAGTAGACAGAAACTATATCTCATTGCAGATACAGTCTCTATCTACTGCAATGGCTGAGAGCACTTTCTGTGTGTGTCTATAATATAATGTATAATAATCTTTGCATTTGATATAGCGCCTTTTCATATCTTTGAGACTTCTCAGCGCTTCATAGAATATACCATAAAGTGAATTGACGGTATAATTGTAGGCAAACATGGCATCCCTCCTCTGTAGAATCCAGCAGCGCAGTGGTTAGAGCACTCGCTTCATAAGCGAGAGGACCCGGGTTTGATCCCAGGCATGGTGAAACCTTAGGCAAGTTTCCTTACTCCACATGACTTATCATGTCTTCAAGATGTCTCAAAACGCTTCATAGAATATACTGTAAAATGAATTGACTGTATATTTTGTGGACGAAATGCGGCAGCCAATTGTGCACAGCAATGTCCCACAAACAGACGTGGATTGAGTGACCAAATTATCATTATTTTTATTTTTGAAGGGATTATTACCCCCCGAAAAGCGATCCACCAATCGACTAACAACCAAGTTCCTATTTATTGCTAGGTAAACATAAACATGTGGAGTAAGGAAACTTGTCTAAGATTTTGCGCTGCCCGGGAATCGAACCTAGGTCCTGTTGCTTCTGAGGCAAATGCTCCAACCAATACACTGCAGGACTCCACCACAACACCACCACCTTGCATTTGTATAGCACTTCTCACACAGTGTAGCATCCCGGAGTGCTTAAACCAGCTAAATCAACCCTTTCAGCTGCTTTTGGATCCAGCTTCAGAATCTGGTGTGTTTGTGTCCCATAAATAATAGAATTCTTTGTTCCCGCAAGTAAAATGGCCACAAACAGTCTGGGCAACAAACATGGAGTCTGTTCTGCTTCATGTGCTTGTGCATTGACTGGAACAATAGCCTCAGTCTGAGCTGAAGTGACCATGGAGTCACAGCAGCCTTGTGGAAGAAAAAGAAATGTGGAATGTGATTCCAAATGGCAGCTGAGTGCTTCAAGACTCATCAGCTCAGCCTCTCATTATTACCGAGAGACTGGCTTGCTTTATGTGACACCCACATTGGTGTGGGTTTCTGCCTGGCACAAATTCTAATGTCTACCTACAACCACGCTGAGAATCAAGGGCTGAGGTGTAAGCCACAATGGATAACATTCACACCCATTTGTTATGTACACTCCAGCTTCCTGTTCGTCCCTCGGCCCCTCCGTTCCACCATTAGCGGCCGGGCTTTCAGCCACTACACCCCGAAGCTCTTGGAATTTCCATCCTCAATCCCTCCGCCTTGCCTGCTCCCTCCCCACTTTCAATCTCTCCTAAAGACCTTCCTTTTTGATCGTGCTTAAGGTCACCTCCCCCACTCCCTTTCCCACTGGCTCGGGGTCAAGCTTCACCACTGTCAAGCGCTCCGGGACTCTACAGTGTGAAGGGCGTGATATAAATGAAAATTGTTATTGTTTGCACATTCTGCTTCATGTTTTACAATGTGTTACATCTTTTACACTAGCAGGCTAAATCCATCAGTTACTGCAAATTTCAAATCATTGCAATGATGTACTCAACTAATAATTAGATATCCTTGCATTTGATATAATGTCCTTGACTTGCACCTTCACTCACCCCAGGAACACATTGCTACCCTAACCCAAACACCCCTTCTGAAGCTGCCTTGATGTGCAATGACATAGCTCACCATCTTTCTGCCTCACCTCTTTAGTGTTAAGTGTTCCATCATCACCTATCTTGTCCTCTCGGGGACTTGGATGGGAACGGTGGGGCAGGGAGGGAGGGAGGGAGGGAGGGAGGGAAATGTAACAGAGAAGCTGAAAGACACAAATGGGAAGTACATGTGCTAATCTTTGTTACAACATACATTCTCTATGGAACCTCATGATGCAGACCTCAAACACTTTGCCTTCATCCAAGTACGGACGTGTTGCACATTATTCACAGAGCACCGCTGTTGGTAGGATCCCTCTCATCCCAAATTGCTTATGGCCCACACATGGCATCACCAGTGTAATCTCCACAGGCAGTGGTTAGGTTAAAGTATTAAAGACCTCACTGAAAGACTCTATTCCAGGTCTCTAGATCATCCTCTGTGAATGGAACTGCATTTCGTACATTTAGGCATTGTGATTGCCTCTACCTCCGAGAGGACATGGAATTATATGGCCCTATTTCAAGTGCTAACAGTGTCTTGTATTGATCAGTGATGTAACAAGGCCCAAGAGGGCCCTGTGCAAGAATCCAACATTTTGCTTCGACAACTATCGTCCCCCTCACGCAGGGTAGCGCCCCAGAGCGCTTCACTCTGCCATCTCCGTCCCTCATGTTCTCTCTCTGCCTGGCAAAGCCCAAGCCGGAGAGAGAGAGAGAGAGAGGGAATATATGTTGTTCTGCCACCAATGGGGAGGTCCCATAGCCTCAAGCCTTACACCATTGTAGTTAAACCACTGCTAAGGATATTGACCTGGCAGGATACTGATACAAATACAACAACAACTTGCACTTAAATAGCGACCTCCACGCAGGATAGTGTCTCAGAGCGCTTAACAGTGGCAGAGCCTGACTCCTGATAGAGGAGTATGTGGCACAGTAACAGGATTTTGACCCTCCAGTATTTGAATCAGCAGGACTTTCTAAAGTATAAACAGGACACGACAAGCCGGATTCCCACGTCTGGAGCTTTTGTTGTGCAGACACCAGTTAAGAATGTTTTCGTGCTCAGGAAACAAAACATCAGAAATCAAGTTCCTCTCATGTCCTCTCCGCTTAGGATGAAAAGCGGAAACACAGGATGGTTCTGCTTTAAACAATGCATTCAAAGTTATCAACATAACAGCTTGCAATTTATATTGCACTGTTTCCATTGAAGAGTAACGCAAAGCACTTAACAGTGGGAGTGGGGTGGAAATCGAACAGTAACACATGGAGAATGTATAGGTGACCGAAGGGGTCATTTGAAGACGTAGGTTTTAAAAGATATTGCAAAAGAGGAAGAAAAGTATTAAGGCAAAGTGGTTTTGAAGCAGTTTCAGAGAACAGCGATGTGGTGCAGGCTTAACCTCAAGTGGTGGAAGGAAGTATGCGCAAGGAGTAAACACTGAAGTCAGAAGTTTGGCTGATGACGCAAGCTTCAGCGACGAATACAAACAATGCTAAAACTGGCAACACATCTCATTCCTTCCTTCATATGGATTGCAGTACAACAACAACTTGGATTTATAAAGCGCCCTCCACGCCGGGCGGCGTCTCCTGGTGATCCGGGAGTGGAGTTTGGTGCGGGTTAGAATGCTGGCGGCAGAGTTTTGAATGATCTGAATTTTATGGATGGTAGTGGACAGGAGACCGGTGAGGAGGGCGTTAGAATACTTTCAGTTATTGAAAATATCTTCCGTGAAGCACTCTGAAACATCTCAAAGACGTGATAAGGCGCTATATCAAATGCAAGGATTATTAGTAGTAGTAAAATATGAAGTACAATACAAATCAAAATTACATTTGTCTAGTGCTTTT